CATGGATCCTGAATAATATAAAGATTGAAAATATCAGGAAACTGGTGGACAGAAGTTTCCTGTATAGCTTGTGTTCATGTTAGCACTAATATGCAATGCTCTTCTCTGTTTCTACAGGGAAGTTTCTGATTCAGCCGATAGTCTCTTTCTCTTTCCTTTTAAATAGACTGAAGCACAGATAAAAATAGATGCATGAGGCTGAAATTAGTTTTGAAACTAGGTGCATTAGGTATCGAAGTCAGTAGAACAAATCTAGGTCTTCCTGCAAATGGTCATTTCCCTCCAGGATATTCTCCTCTGTCCCATAAACTCTCTATTCTTATCAGCTTTCATTTGCTCTCTATTGAGCTCAATAACTGCAGCAAGTACTGTTTCACAATTTTACGGGTTTGTCGGAATAAAAAAATGATAGAAAGTTATATTCAGGAAAAAGTTAAGCAATACTGCAATATCCCATAGAATAACATAGACATAAAACTTTGAGAAGCATCTTTAATATTCAAATACCTTAATACTGAAGTATGCATTCCCTATGATGTTTAATAGCACTTCAGCTTACAAATTGAAACATTACAAATTGAAAGTTTTAAAACATTCAGTGGTCAGTTTTAAACAGTGAGCTGAGCTCAATCCCATTTTAACTATGACACTGTCAACAGCACGCTTCATAAGTAGGAAAAAGTAAGGCAGAACTAATGGCAAGATGATCAGAGGGACTGCTGTGTAAGAACAGATATTCCTGAATGCGAACTGGAGAAATGAGCATATTAAAGACAGAGGGTGTTCCTGACCTGATACCAGAACGTCATTAGGTTAATAAGCCGTCTTTCCTGGGTCAGTGTAGCTCTGTATTTAGCTCACAGACTGGATTTAACATTTCGAAAGTGACCTTGTATGATAACAATAATGCAGTATCACGATTTCATTACACCTATTTATTTTAAGTTCTATCAGAACTGCTGTGAAGAAGTCTCAAATGATCCCTGTCTGCAGCAGATCACAAAAATGCCCTCCTAAAAAGTAACAAAATATTTTAAACTGATCAAAAACGAATTTAAAAAAAAAAAAAAAGGAGTTTAAAGAGTTTTCTGAGTGGAATGCAAATTCTTCTTCATATGTTGATGATAATAGAGCTCCTTGATTTTTTTTTTTTTTTTTCAATTAAGAGGGCCCAAGAAAATAAAGTTCACATATGTTTCTGCAAAAGTCTTTCCTCTTTTTTTTTTTCTTCTCTTTTTTTTTCTTTTTTTCCTCAAGCAGTCCAGAATTCTAAACAACAGCCTGCTCCAATGTGCCAAGTAGCAATTTCTGCACAATGAACTTGTAGTAGCCAGGAACGTCCAGTATCACATATCAGAGCCAGTGCTTTTGATTATCAGTTCTATCACTGGTGCAAGGAATAACATGTACCCTCATGGACTGTTTGCAAAGCTACAGTAACTTCACGAGCCCAAACAACATATTTACAAAACAATATTATCCAGTGTCATGATAAGAAAACAAAAGTATCTGGTCACTTTGACAGATTACAATAGGATGCTCTTGAGAAGCATTCTGGTAACAAAAATACCCAATAAATATATACTTTAGCCCTAGCACTTATTAATACTCCTCCATCTGGCAAGAAGCACAGCAAGAAGGAATGTTTTAGATGGGCATTTCTGAATAACTCTCAACTGAAGAGAATGTAGGGTCAATTACAGAAGATTCAAACATCCTTGCTGCCTCTGTCATGTAGGGCCAAGAAAATACAGCCAATGAAGCAACATTACATTAAAAATTCCTGGTAGTTAAATGATTGATTTCTTACGCTCATCAAAATCAATGTTTAATGTTTAGGTTGCAGTAGTTTCACATACACCAACATTTTGAAGTTTCAAATAGGTTCCAGAAGACTGCAATTTACACACCATGTTGCTTGTTTCTATGAGATTAGCAGCCAGTGACACATTACTCTTTTGGACAGTTTCAACTTACACTTATTACCAGTATGGTAACTGCAGTACACAAATCTGGTCAATTAGGCTTGCTCTAGAAGTACTCTTGAAAGGAGTTCAGCACTGCTTTTGTCCTCCCCAGTTCAGCCCAACAAGTATTTTGCACTGTAGGTAGGTCTCTTACCACAACAGTCAGTAGCATGGAAGAAAACAGTGGTTTTACTGAGAAAACAAGCACTCCAATCAATGGTTAGCATAAAGAGCTAGTTAAGACAATGAGCAGGTGATTAGTAGAAACATGAGGACAGAAATCATCTTCTGCAGGACTTAAGCAGCTTAAGTTCTTTTGTACAAACTGTGTTATCCAAGGAGATTCACCACTGGAGTGGAGAGGACAGAAAAATTCAACATTTGGTGCATCCTCTGGTTTGAAAAATGCCACTTATCTTTCTCTGCTGTCCTGAATTGAATTCATGTGCTTGCAAACAGCTGAGGGTGCACCGCCAGTGTATATCATATTCCGATCTAACATGCCTTGTACTGTTAAACCACAGAGTTTGAACTTAAAACCTGTGAGGCAGTTACAAGTCAACAGATTTGCTGCTGTTCCTGTGACCATGTTAGGGACAGGTAATAAGAAGGCAAAGCCCACAGTCTCAGAAAATTAATAGTTCTTCATCCTTGCTCATATAAGTGGCGCTACAAATAAGGTTTGAAGAACTGTGTTTAGTGTGGCACCTTAATCAAGATCTTCTAATAAATAAATAAATAAATAAATAAATATTTTGTGCGACCTGTCATCTACTTTGTGCATTCAGTATATTCATGTCCACAAATAATAATAATAAAAATATTACAGGGATGTAAATGAGTTACTATTTTAACATACTGTAAGTATATAAATTAGAACATGAAAGTGATGCAATTTCTAACAGAAGCAGCAACAGCTTGTGGGATATATTGTGTTCTAAGAAATAGTTAGGCTTGTGAAAACATTAAAAAACATAAAAAAGGCTAAAAGCTACTATTGAAAATTCAGTTGTGTTTAACCACATATATATTGCTAAAACTGAAAAGCCTTAGCCTCCAGCCCAAAGGAATTAGTGGAGATCTTTTCATTAGTTCAACCGAACTTTAAATTAGGGGAATAAATACAAAGAGGATAAAACTAGTAGAAACACTTTCTAAACTATCTTTCAGTATATTAATAGAAATAAGTAACATAGTCAAGCCAATTACACCATGTGGAGGGTAAAATAGTGTAAATCTAGGCCTTCAGCCTGACAGCAGATCTGACTAACTGATGACTGTAATAATACTAATAAGATAAATTCTTTCTGCACTACAGGTTTTTTTGTTTGTTTGTTTGTTTGTTTTTTTAATTTTGGTATTTTAGGATTACTGATAATAATTAGTACTGAATGTGGGTGATAGAAGCCTTGAAGCTCTACACTGAATGACTTGAAACACTATAAGTATGCATTTTAAAAACAAATCTAGCCTCTTGAAAGGCTTTTTTTTTTTTTTTTTCCCCTCAAAACTGGGGATTAAGTTCTCCATAAATTCTGTATTTGAGTAAACATATTGCCACAACATTAACACTGGCAGAAGTCTTTAGCATCATTTACAAAATGATAATTCATATCCACTTCAAAAAGAAAAGCTGGCAGCGTGGGAAGTTCCAAACAACTAGTGTCTTAATGTTTAATGATAAATGTAGTTCAGTATTCAAAATTGAATATTTTCCATGCTATAAACAATTAAAACAAATATAAATACAGTGGTGGATTTGTGTTGATAGAATTATTGCTTTTTGGCTTGGCCCACCACAATCAGCAACCTTTAGGGAAAACACAGAATATATCCATCATAAACATTGTTTTTAATTTTAAATATGATTTTATACTACTAGCACAAGGCTTTAAGCATATGAGAAAAAATACTTAAAAATTATGATTTATTGTTATGGTTTGAATTTTAATAATAAAATCATGAAAGTCTATAGACAACATAGTCACTTCTTAAAAACAACTTATGATTATGAAGAAATTAAAAGAAGAAATGAATAGAATTAATATATTGATAGTAATTCAGTATCAAGTTCTTCAAGGAAAGCTACTGAAGATTACTGCCAAATTGCAGGCACATGTATGAAGAATGCTAATCACAAGGTTAAGAAATTTTATGGAGATCTTCTCACATTTGTGAATCTCCAGTTTCAACAAAACATCCATTCATTTATTTACATCAAATGCAAACAGCCCCAGCTTGTCACAGACTTTATTTAAAGACGTCAGTTGTTGAATTTTATATTTCTGAAAACAGAAAACAACTTTCTCTAATTTATGACCATATTTTAACTAGAAAGTTAGTGTTGATAATACATAATTCTGCCATTTCATCTAAAATAGTGGCATTAATCAATTAACTGATCCTGCTAGATTTTTAGCTTTAGTATTAATTAGGAACATGTTATTTCATAAATACAACATGCCAGTGTTATTGTGTATTGGTTTTAGAGTGTGTTGGGCTATCAGAATGTTTTAAAAATTCATATTCAGATAAGAAAACATTTTTTTTTATGAAGTAGTCATTATTTCATGCAGGATGTAAAAATAAAAACATTGAAAAGATGTAGAAAGAAATAATTTGAATGTATGAATTTAAAAGAAAGTCACACTGAAAATAAATTCACAGTATAATAGGTCACAGAATGCAGTACTGTAAACCTGAATCCTGTGACAACTTGCAGATGTGCTTAACTGTGTGTAGTACAAAGTGAATACAGAGGGGTCCAAGGTAAAACATACGCATCGGCCTTTGTAGAGTCAATGCCTTGAGTAATAAATTCCTAATGCATATTTGTAAACTTGAAAAACCTGTGTGAGGTTTCTGGTTGTTTCCAAAATGTACTTTTTCTTTGATGATCTTCAATACGTTATATATATGTATACATATACACAGGCATATGCATTTATAGAAAACTATCACTTTATCACTTATGAGAGTAAGTCACCCTGTAAATACAGTATTAATCTCAACATCAGTATTGTTGTTACTCACCTGTCTGTTACGCTCATCCATAATCCTTGTAATCTGAATCTTTTTTCTCCCCATAGTCCCCGTTTTTTTTCCTCTCCTTCTTCCTTAAAATTAGGTATTTTCCCTTCTCTTTTCTTCCTCTTTCCTGTTTCCTCAAAACAAGCCTCCTTCTTCAGCACTTGCACTATTCAGTTCACAGTCCCCTGCATCCGTTCCTGCTAAACACAGAAAGGAAATAGAATGTTACTACAAATTGATAACTAGATGAAAGTTGTTTTATGGAGCCAACAACATGTCCTAATTATAATTTATTGCACAAGCAAATTTTAATACATTTTTCCTGCATCTAGAAAGTAAGTACCTCAAAGAGACATAATAATATAATCCAAAGTTTTCTGCTTATGAATAAACCCACCAACACATCAAGAAATGAAAAGGACTAAAATTCACGTTGCCAAAACTTAAACAGAATTAAATATCTCTAGTTTTAAATATCAGTCACTGCAGTAATATGAAAAATTACCTAAATCAGAGAGTTAATGAACCTTTCTGTACCTATGTATGCTAAGTAGGCCAGCTAATTCATTTCTGAAAGGAAAACAATCTTGTGTTTTGACAGCAGAGGTGATAATGTCCCTCATTATGCAAATAGGATGGACATTTATTGTAGTGTTATTTGATATATGAGAGATGTCAGCTAGTTTAAGTCCAACTTTTTAAACTTTATTCTTCGAGAATGTAGATTACTGCATTACTCAACATACTAGAGAAATTGTGAGTGTGTTTTCCCTCATTTCATTTCAACATAAATTCCAAAGGGTACTGACAAATGATTTATTAGCAGCAAATATGTTCATCTCTCCTTATGAAAATTCTTGCACCAGAAGCCAAGCTATGAAGCACAAAATAGTGAGGACAGATGATAAATTAAGAATGTTTGGAAAAAGACTTTCACAGTTTCAGTAAGGAACTGATATTAGCTCCCTGAACTTTACAATACCGATATTGTTGCAAGTGAGGACTGTTAAATATGATACATAAAAATACATGATGCAGTAAGCACTCCTCGTTTCACCAAATGTCATTAAGTCACATATCTGTTGAGTATGAAATTTTTTTAGCAAAATAAAACCCTCAACTTGATAAAAAATTAAGAAAATACAGAAGTGATGTTCAGAGTAGTTCTAAAGTACAAGGTGCCTCGTCTTGTTTTTTTGATCTTTATTTGAAATACTTTAATATTTACATATTCTGAAGAGCATAGAGTTCTTTATAATACAGAAAAGAGAGAAAAATAAATAAGATTTATTTAAAGTGACTTTTTATGTTTTGCTTTTTTTTTTTTTTTTTCCCCTCTGTGTATTAGAAATATTATGTTGTAAATCAAAATTTAGTAAATTAAAAACAGAGGCTGTTGTCTCCTTATTTGTAAAGTTCATAGTCTTGCAGCCAACCAGATGAATTCTCTCAATATGTTATGTAACATTAAGCCAATGTCCTGGGCATTTAATCCATTATTTGGCTCAGACTCAAAGCTAGTGAGGTAGAAAAGCTAGACCTCACTCGTTCTGATCTTCAGTTCTCTCTTTGCATACATTAAACTTTAAGCTGCTTAGTGTTTTATCACTCCAAGAAAAAAATAAGTTAACAAGCAAGCAATCAGTCTGAGTTTTCTAACTAGCTGTTATAATATAATTAATTTGCTAGGCGAGATAGATTTTTAAATATATGACTTACTATCTTTCTGTCCATTAATACCTTTGTGTATTATCTTTTAGGCATATTTATGCATGCCTAATTATTTACCATAATGAAGAATATGGCATGTAACATGGAAAACTTTATATTTTATAAAATATAAAGGCTGCAAAATTTTTACTGCTTTGTAAACTGTTAAAAACAGGTCAGTTGTTTAAAAAGACACGATGGTACTTGATCATATTTACAACAACAACAACAACAAAATAAAAACCCAAAGCTTTGAAATACACTGATCACAAGTATTTCTTAAACTTTTCTTCTAAACAAAGCTAGAAGACAGTCTTATCTGATACTTAGTGTTGACAAACAGAGTCTATTTTCGGAAACAGCCTTAAGTTTCCTCAGACTGGGTTTCTTTCCTGTTTTTCCTGTAGTCTTACCTCTGATACAAAGAGCAAGTTAGAATGGCGTTTCCCATGAACATGCAGGACCCAAAGGACTCTAACAGGCTTTCTTGTCATGGTAAGCCAATACGCTAATCCACAGCAAATGCATATGGAACAATTTCCTTTCCTTTCATTCAGCTGAAGCCAGTGGCACTATCGGCTTACAGCACTATGCCTGCCTAAGCTCTTATTCACTTCAAGGTGGAAGGTCAGGGTGGACAGATTAGAGCAGTGGTGACAGGGTTAGCAAGGATGAGAGCTGCTTTGCAGATCAAGATGACAATGCTGAATGAGTTTGGAAAAAGTCACTGAATTTTGCAAACATCAACCAGGAAAAAAAAACCTAGTGAAGGAGCAATGTCTAGTTTCCTTGCCACACTCTTATCAGTTCCACATTTAAGACCAGTCTTCAAATAGCAAAAGCATATACCGAGAGATATTGAAGTCGAAACAGTTAAAATACCTGCTTTGTGAATTCTGTTTTTCACTTTTTGGAGTAATCTACTAAGTATGCTAGTTTTACTTTAATTGGAAACAAGGGTATGCAAGCAAACAAAAGCAAAGGAGGGCAAAGATGGTTTAGTTATTAAATACAGCTGTACAATCTGAGAGACGGAGAAGGAATAATGTGTTAGATCATCTGTATCCAACATACAATTTGCAAAGAAACTTAATTTTACTTAAATAGGTAGCAGGTTATGGTTTCCAGCACTGGTGAAAAATACCTCTCTCTACTTGTTCTTTTTTTGCATACTAGTCTAATTTCAAATGAAAGGTATTCAATTTATCTAGAAAATCTATTTATTTTTTGAACATCTGAAAATTTCTGCCATTTTTCCTTCTACTAGAAGCTGTATGGGAATGCTGTAGTTTTCTGTATATCTGTCTCTATTATTTATAAACATATATACATATCAACACATACTACTTCACGTGCTATACTTAATATGTGTTTGCCTATAGCTCTAGTCACATAATTAGCAAACACATTTGCATGCGTGCATACATAGAGCAGATAGCTGGACTCATTCCAAATCAATTGGTTTCAGAAGTGTGAATCATCATGTCTAATTCAAGGGTTATAACCCTCAAAGGCTGGTGACTTCTGAGTCACAGAATGTAAAGAACTCCGGAGATCAACAAATCCCCATGGCTGTCTTAGCACTTCAGCAATGCTCCTAACACTTTTTGAAAGTTCCTACAGGATTAAGCATTACAGTACTAAGAATTCAAATTTTCCATTAACTGCTAATTTGCATTTTTCTAACTAGCACACTAGCTAGAAAAGCTGACGGTACTGCAGAACTCAAATAGTGCTTTCAGGCTTTCATAAAACCAAGACAATTTAAAAAGGAACTTAAAACAATTCTAGTAACTTTGTTTAAGTAACTGTCCACATAAAAGAGAACTTCCAACTTAATGACATAGTTACATGCAATAAGTTTGCACTTAAAGAATCACACAATTACATGCTATGTGTCACATTCTTCAGCGTTTTTTCTTTTTGCAAACCCAAACACGGAAAAAAAGAAAAAAAAAGAAAAGAAAAATCAGACTGCTTACAAAAAGAGGAACTTCATTTTTGGCGGGCTTCTGTTCACTATATGATTTGGCAGAGGCAGATAACTGTCAGAAGATTGATCTGAGCCTTGAGAAGGGAAAAGAACTAATGGAGAAATACAGCAGATCATTTATTTGACTGCTCCTTCGACTGTTCAATGCACAGACATGAGTGCACACACATGCACTCTCACTATCCCTTCTCTGCAACTCAGAAGAATCTTGGTAGAATGGCAGGAAACACGCACAGAGTGGTCAGGGAAGGATATGATGTCAGCAACCACGAACAATAAAAGGTGTAAAGGTGCTTCCTTCCCTAAACTGTTCCAGAAGTGCAAAATGGGAACCAAAACTCTCCACTTCCTTCTCTGAGCACAACTGTCTGAATCTGCTTTGCTGCAGCACCCAGACAGAGTTCTTTGAACAACTCCCATTAGGGGCAATAAGGATTATCAAAACAGGAGACTCAAAATATTTAATTTAAAAACAAGAAAAATTGGTCAGAGAAAAGCACTAAATGACAAGGTTTAGTATTTTCATGGTTGCTTCACAAAAGTGATAAACTTGCTATATAGATGTATCTGTTCCATATGAAATAGTTTGCATTCTGAGTGGATTAATCAGATGAAAGCTAAATAAAAAACCCAAACCTTTTTATAATGACATAAGGAAGCAAACAACAACAAAAAATGCTTCCCATTCTCTTACCTAACTTACTTCATAGAAATAAGTCACTTCAAAGGCTATCAAATCTTTCTATGTAAACCTAAAAGAATTTTGAATCAGATTATAAACAAAAATCTAAATGCATTAATAAGACAGCAGCTGCTTGTCTGATGAAAAATTCACTGTAAAAAGGGCAACATAACTTCTAGAATACACAGCAGGGAATACATAATCAGTTACAGAAATGTTACCTATAAAAGACCAAGTCTATCTGACCAAGTCCCATATGCAGAAAAAAAGAAGTAAAGAAATAATTGGGCATGATGCAAAAAATAAAGATCATTTTATTTCTGTCATCCTGAGTCAAATAAAGTTTCAGTAAATACAAAAAAGGGTGAAAGAAGCATTTATCTTTCGTATTATCCCACAGAAGTCAGCTGATGTTACATCCAGGATCGAAGTAGTCCTTCACATTTCATGTGGTTTGGTTGCATAGTCATTACTGAGCACACAGTTTGGCCCATTAAGAGAAATGCTCTGATAAAAATTATATATGTCATCACCACAGCAATACATCAGCAAAGCAGAAATTGCATAATAAACAGTACAGTAATCCAGGCAGAAAGCCGTGCAGCAGTGAATCTCTTCATCACTTTAAGGTTTCAAACATCTGCACGCAGCACTCTGATTTAGAACTTAAACATGATCAGACGGCCATATTAAAATATGCGGAAGGGAGTGTTCATTTTAATCTACTAAATTCAACTCCCAAGAGATTTTATTATGGAAGTATAAGGCAAACATTTCAGCCAGAATGGTCCTAATGTAACAGATTAAATACTACA